TTATTATACATCTATTTGTATAAAATTTTATGAGATTTTAATAAATTAAAAATACAGTAAATTTTTATATTGTAATTGAAAATTAAGTTTTTAATTGGATTAGAAAAAATAATTATTTTCACTGTTTTTGGCCTAAATGTCAATTTACAATACAATATAAGATATATTTAACTACACATCAATCAACTCATACAGAAATAAACCTATTTAAATGTGATTTTAATAATTGTAATAAAAGTTATAAATATAAAGACAATCTTCAACAACACAAAAATAGCATTCATTTAAAGTTGAGATTTATTTGTGATTTCAATGAATGCCACAAAAGTTTTACAGCAAAACAGCATTTATTTCGACACAAAAGTTGTGTTCATTTGAATGAAAGGAAACTCAAATGTAATGAAGAAAATTGCGGCAAATATTGTGGTCATAAATCCCATTTTAATTCACATAAACGCATACATTTGGGAGAAAAACCATTTGTTTGTCATTTCAATAATTGTAACAAATGTTTTTCCGATCTAATTCCGATCTAAATCTAATTTCAACAAACATATTTATAAACATAATAGTATAAAACTATAATTTTATTGATAATACCATCAATTAAAACTAAACTTATTTTATATACATTTCACAATAAAAAAATAAATCATGCATTTAAATGTAATTTATATCATAATTTTTACCATATATAATCTTATGTAAATCTTATTAACTTTATTTTGTATATTATTAATAGTTTATAAACATTTATTGGTAATAATTGAATAGAAATACTGTTAATAAAACGTTTTGATAATTTATAATTATTTTTTCTAATCCAATTAAAAACTTAATTTTCAATTACAATATAAAAATTTACTGTATTTTTAATTTATTAAAATCTCATAAAATTTTATACAAATAGATGTATAATAATGTGTTAAATAATTAATTTACAATGCATCTTTGCAGACTTTGTTTGGATCAGTTGATGCAACTTCTGAGCCATTGATCTGGATATCAGTCCATTCATTGATGTCTTTGACAACAGTCGACCCCTTCCTCTCCTTCTCTCTCATCAAACCTTTTAATAAACTGATTGTCATTTTGTTTTGATTCTTGATTTCAGTCAACATTTCCTGAATATTGCTCTCATTTCTGATTTTGTCTGAATTAGTGGTCAATTGATTGCCGGAACCGATCGCAGACCCGGAGGACATGTCCTGTTCTACACTCGCTGAACAACTGTTTACTATTAAAATACAAATTAATAAATCAAATGAATTTTGTGAAAATAAATTACTATTAAATGCAAACCTAATGTTTTGGGCATTGATTTGTTGGGCCAATTGTTTGACATCGGATTCAATGATGCCTTCAATGCCGACAACTCTTCATTTAATTTACTGTTTTTGGTCAACATTTCACTCAAACTTTATTTGCAAAAATAGATTTAAATTTTGATTACAATTAATAAAATGGGCATTTGTTTAACAATTATAGCAAACCTGTTGTCGTAAGTCAACATCTTTTCTCTCAATTCATTCATCTGTGTCTCCATTGTATGCATTGAATCCATAGTTGTCTTGAGCTGTGCTTTCAATGCCGTCACTTCGGACTCATTGTTTGCCTTCAAATCCGACTTTTGGTCCGACTTTTCACTCAAACTATAATTTTTTTTAAAAATTAATAAAATGCAATGTATATGTTGAGAGCTTACCTGGTTGATTGAGTATTACATCTCGAATGGACGTATATGATATTGTTGAACCTAAACTTGGCCAAATTATAATCATCATGGTATAATTTATATGACTTTAAAAAGTCATTCCCAATGCTAATAATGTCGGTGTTTTCATTGTACAGACTATTAGTCTGTAGAAAACGTTTGAGATGTTTGATTGTTTTAACATCTGGTGGTGTATCCACTTTAATCATATCATCGCTACCCGTATAGCGTAGAAACCAGATTGTCATGGTGGAATTTATTTAGTAATTATGGTAATAAATTATTACTATTACTAATAATAACAATAATATTTTGTTAAGTGCTAGTTATATGGCTGTCTGTGTCTCTCACTGTATATGCGCTCTGATCTCACAATCAGTACTAAACTGATGGTCAGTTTGGGGTCAGTAATGGGCGCACATGTATTGTCTTGAAGGCTGTGCACTATGTTTAACATATCGTGTAAATGATATAAATAATATAAATTCTATACAAGTGTTGAGTCCATATTCAAACCCCTGGGGCTGAAAGTGGGCACATACATGTATACTGCACACGTATTGTTACAGCTATTGTCAATAATCTATAGCCTTTTTTATTAGAATTAAGATTACATTTATAAATTTAAACGTTTATTATTAATAGTTGTTAATTAAAAACGTTATTAATAAAATTAATTGCATTTATTACTAAATACATAGAAATATATGAAAATTAAAATAAAATAATTATGATAAACTCATAATTGATTGAACAAATAACAATCACAAAATATTCAAATTTATTTGTGATTTCAATGAATGCTACAAAAGATTTACTTTGATCAGATTTATTTTGATACAAAAGTTGTATTCATTTGAATGAATAGAAATTCAAATGTAATGAAGAAAATTGTGGCAAAAAATTCACAACAAAACAAAATCTTTGCCAACACTTGCAATGGATTCGCTGTCATCCGTGTCTTCAGCCAATACTCTCGTGTCTTTGTTTTCTTTATCTCTAACCAAACTTCTCATCAAATTTAATGCCATTTTGTTTTGATTCTTGATTTCAGTCAACATTTCCTGAATCTCATCTCTGGTTTTGTCTGAATTAGTGGTCAATTGATTGTGGGATCCGATCGATGAACAACTTGAGGACATGTCCTGTTGAACACTCGCTGAACAACTGTTTGATATAAATACATTATTAAAAATATTTACAATTACAATTAAAATCACCTCATTTTTAAAGCATCCATTTCTTTCTCTAATACTTTGACTTTAGATTTAATGATAGCAATATGTTTCGATGCCTTCAAATTTTTGATCATATTTTGATTACTAAAAAAGTGATATATTTGTAACATTTTTAAACTTATAAATATTCAAAGGAATAATAGATTTTTTAAAACAAAGTTTATATCAAACCTTGTGTTTGTGGCCAACATTAAGGACAGAGTATATCGTTTACAGACCGCAACCTTTGGCTTTATATCATTGATATCTTTAGCCATTGTATCAATTGAATCGTCAATTGTCTTGAGCTGTGCTTTCAATGCCTTCACTTCGGACTCATTGCTTGCCTTCAGAGCCGACATCTCTTCACACAATTTACGCCACTTTCGGTCCGACTCTTCACTCAGACTATAGTTTTAAATAACTATTAATAAAGTATATATTTTAATATTAATACCAAACAAAAACATACCTGGTTGATTGGGTTGGAACAGTGTGATCACATCTAGTATTGATGTATATATTATTGTTATAACAACAGGTGAATGGGCATTTACCATGGCACAACTTATTGGGCACAGTCTTAGAGTCTAACGTTACTGCAATAGTATCCGTGTTTTGAATGAACACACCTTTTGTCTGTAGAAAACATTGTAAATCGTTGATTGTCTTACAATTTGATGGGATATCGATATCAAGCCGTTGATCGCTACCATTGATGTATACATCCCAGGTATACATAATGGTGATTATGGTAAAAATCACTGTACTTGTTAATTTTGTTTTGTTTAACTATTTGCTACACATACAGCTATTTTTCATTGTATGTGTGGCTCTGATTTTACACTCACTACTAAACTGATGGTCAGTTTGGGGTCAGCTATGCGCACATGTAGTTTTCTATGTGATTTATTGGGTATATATTTAGCGCAAAATATACCAATATTATTATATATGGTTTAAATATAAATGATTTAAATAAACATAAATTAAGGACATATGTTAAATGTTAAGTCCATACAAACTTAAGGCCTGGTTCTGAGAAACTAGACTTCAAATGCATTAACTTTTGCATATCAGGTGCGGAGTCTGTGGTGAATAAATTATTCAGAATTATACGATATTATTAATACCTGTTTATTACCTATATTAGCACAAATTAGAGGTTATAAATAATTTAACAATAAAATTAGAATATTTGCATTTTTCAAATTTTAATACAAAAATATATTTTATTTTCAAATAAAACAAATTTGCATATAATTTTGCAACTCATTGAAAACATTATTAAATATAATAATTGATTCAAAAATAAAACAATTTAAATGTTATCACAATAACTATAATTATCATTTCAAAGTTAACATTAATAAACATACTAATATAATTACATAATTGTATCCAATAATTATAATCAACAGTTTGTCACGAAATTTTAAATAAATAAATAATAATATTTTAATAATTTCATATATACAGCCCGAATATTAAGTGACCGCATAGGCTCAATGCTATAAGGATTAGTTCTCGTTAATTATCATAGCATAGAGCAGTGCATTTCTTCGCACATTGATGGCAAATGCAACCCTTTTTGTGAACTAGGTGCGAAAAAAATTGCACTGTTTTATGCTGCAAATTAACACTATTAATCCTTATAACATTGAGTCTATACGGCCATATAATATTCCCAGTGTAAGTTATATAATATAACAAAAAAGGAAATGTTTAAACGCTACTCAACCGATGCCGACGGGAGTGATATAGTGGTGATCACAGCAATGAGAAGAGTTGTGTTCCTGAAACAGAACATACGAATGGCCACAAACACCGGAGTTACAATTTACAATTATAACATTACAATTCTGGGAAATCGTATCACGCATGTAAATGCGAGTTTTAAATGCTGTCAGGATTTCCCAGAATTGTAATGTTATAATTGTCAATTGTAACTCCGGTGTTTGTGGCTATTCGCATGTTTTGTTACAGGAACACAACTCTTTTCATTGCTGTGATCACCATTATATCCCGTTGGCATCGGTTGAGGTGCGTTTACACTATTTCCATATTAAGCATAAATAAATTAAATGTTCATTATACAGTGCAACTTCTCCATAAGGAACGGCCAATTGCACGGCAAAAGTGTTCCCTATAGAGAGTTCATCCAAGAAAGGTTCTGTAATAGGTATAAAAATTTCAAAATATATTCCAAATCCGTTCCTTTAAAGAGGTGTTCCACCAAGAGAAGTTGCCCCAAGAGAGGTTGCACTGTATACCCAAAATACAAATTAATTTAAATGTTTATCTCTTTTGTGGTCTATTAGCGCGGAGGCGGAGCCAAATCGTTTGCGGCACTCATTGCAATGTATGTGTCGGCCGGGCGTGGGATGCGTTGCGACCGCTGGCATAAGCTTCTCATAAGTTATCAATTGTTGTTTCAAATCATTGATCTCTTCAGCCATTGTCTGCATTGAATCCTCGGCTCTCTTCAGCTGTGCTTTCAATGCCTTCACTTCGGACTCATTGCTTGCTTTTAGAGCCGACATCTCTTCACACACTTTGCGATACTGTCGGTCCGACTCTTCTCTCTGTCTATAGTTTTGAACATAAATTTTATTAATAATATTGTAATATTATGAGAGATTATACAAACTCCAGCTGGAAATACATACCCTATTGATTCATTAATAAATAATGGATTGAAATAATTTTGGATTGAATAATAATTGGATAATCAGCACATAAGTTGGCCAACAAAAAATCATCATTGTAAAATGTGACTTTACTCCGGCCATCCATTATTCCAACCATTTCAGTGATTTCATTATAATTTACATAAAATGCCAGAAATGCCTTTAAATCTCTGATACAAAGGATATTGTTTGAAATAAACATTTTTGATGGTAAATATCCTTGTTTATCATGTTTATTAAAGTAGAGCTCGTGGAACGCCATATATTATATATTTGGTTAATTGTGGTTAAAATAATTATATTTAATATTGTATTAATTAATATGTGAGCGACTGTCTGTATATGTGGTGTTATCCCACAATCACTACTAAACTGATGGGCAATTTTGGGGTTAGGTATGCGCACATGTGCTGTAAAGTATATTTTTAAATGTATGTTAAAGTATATTTTACATATCCATAGTACAGTATTATTAATTGACAATTTGTAATTGTGTAAAGGCTTTAATTAAACATTTAAAACTCAACTTATAAATAGCGATACATGTGTTGAGTTCATACAAACCCAAGGCCTGTGTCTGAGAAATCGGACTTTCATATGAAATATGTTTTGCATATTATATGCAAAGTCTGTGATAAATAATACCTATTTATAAACATTTAACGCTTTAAATATTAATAAAATTCAAATTAAACGCAATATTTATTTTTAATAATTTATATTTAGTTTTAACAATATTCTGTATAGAATAATATGGTTTATAGGATCTTTCGGCTACCCCTCCCCCGGACCCTCTAATATTGTGATAATACTCACGGAAACAAATTATGGTGCAAATGAACAGCAAAAATGACATTATCAGGGATGTGGGATAATTCAATATAATTATTGTGATGCTATCCACAGTAATGAATGATTGGATACTGTGTCATATATGGAGTACACTAACCACTTTGCATACGAGTTGTAGTTCACTATATGTAGTCACAGTATATTGGAGTTTAGTAACACATATTAATTATTGAAAGTATACTCAAAAAAATTCACAGTAATTGCGAATTCAGATCTATCATTGAATATATTCACATAAATTTGCTTGAAATGCAACTCATTTTTATATTTGAATTGTGCTATCTGTTTTTAAATTAATTATGCAATAATGTTGCAATATGTTGTGTGCATTAATGTTGCAATATGTTGTTATTGTGTGCATTATGTTTTGTGCATTTTGTTTGTTTATATAAAATGAATACTATGTATTGTATTAATGGCCAGCTTTATGTTATCACACCATATGGTGTATACAGCGTATAACTGAACATATCATATAAATCTTAATTGCAATTACATTTCAACCATTTTTTTGGTCATTTTCATATTCACTTGGTTTTCATATACATGTATATGAATACAATTACCGGTAATGTGAATACCAAACGGCTTTAAATTAATTTATAGCCGTTTGGTATTCAATCAATTGATCCATTATTTTTAACCAAGTATTTTTTTGGTTGTATGGCACTGTTTAGTTGTGTTACCATACTATGTAATGTAATTGAATATGTTCACCAAATATTCACCAAAGTTAATCATGTTCACAGATATTGATGTGTCATAGAAATGACTTTTTAATTGTTTGCCTTTCACTCATATAAGCACAGAATGACATGTGAATTGCATCAATGTATTATTGGTGTTCATGAACTCCAATCAATAAGCGAGAATATGTTCTCGCAATTTACTTTTTGACATAAATCACGTCCGCTATTAAAAATGAATGTAACTTTTTGGTGCGCTAGCTCACGGTAAATTCATTTTCGGAGAATATGAACCATATTCACCGTTACACCTTAGTTCACGGCCACCTTTAATATTTACAGTGCTCGCCGGTATATCAACACTAATCCTATGGTCACAGCCTTTGTATTGTATGTAATATTTAGGCATTATGTGGACTAAAAAGTGTTTAATTAATGTCAAATAATTATGTTTAATAACTTATTTTATTAATTGTTTGAAATATGACTGACTGTCTCTCACTGTGTATGTGATCTGATCTCACAATCACTACTAAACTGATGGTGAGTTTGACTCAGGTATGCGAACATGATATCACTTGATTGGCATTCAATATCATATTGACAATATGTTGTGAAAATACTTTAAATAACCAAAAATTAACCTTAAGTTTTAAATGCAATACACGTGTTGAGTCCATACAAACCCAATGACCAAAGTCTTAATAATAATCCCTATTAACGATTTTTGATTGTATTAAATACTTGTGTATTTCCTGTACTTTTAAAAGGCTTATGATTTTCATCTGTATTTCTAACATTGGTTTTGCTTTAATTTTAATTTTATCAAATATTGTATTTATCAATAATCATATTTGTTGAAAACCTTAACTGAAAACATATGGACAACACATTGAGAGCACAACTATTACTACAAATAATACTGCATTTGAGACAACATTTCCAGAGTTGGAGTCAAACAAAACTAGACTGACCAGGTTTAGATATTGAAAAAGAGTACTTTTGACAAAATTTTCTTTAATTTAAGCGGAAAATAGAGGACAAATATTTTGCGTTATTGTTTTACATTACCTTAATTCTGTACAGCAAATATACTGTATAAAGCATCTAAGAAATTATAGCCAACATTACTTATAAATTGTTAAAAGACTAAAAATTTTATTTTAATAAATTCCAATTAAACAATCTGTACAGATTTTACTATTTTTTAAAACAAATCTTATAAATCTTCCTGTTTTAATAAATAAATTCATTAAAAATTCAATTTTTTGGCAATTTGAAATAGAGGACACTCAATGGTCCTCTTTCACCCTTTCAGAGGACAGTAACCAAAACGTCCAAATAGAGGAAATTCCTCTGAAAAGAGGACATCTGGTCAGTCTAAACCAAACACATCTTCAAAACTAAATTACTTGAATAACTTGAAGACATGTCCTGTTGAACACTCGCTGAACAACTGTTTAAACATAAAAATACAAATTAATATAAATTATTAATATACATTAATACTACATGTATATTAATACTATAAAATGGTAATTAAAATTAAACCTACTATTCTGTGCATTTATTTCTTGAAACAATAGTTTAACATCGGATTCAATTATATGTTTTGATTTAACATTTCCACCGTTAACATTTTGTTAGAATTATTTAATAAATTGTATGTTTGATAAGTTTTAATAATTTAAATATGTCGGTTTTTCTAATTAAAGAAAAAATCTTTTAAATGTGATGAACAAAATTGTGGCAAAAGTTTTGACAAAAATTTTAGATTAAATGAACAAAAACGCATTCATTCGGGAGAAAAACCATTTGTTTGCCATTTCAATTATTGTAACAAAAGTTTTTTATATAAGTGTAATCTTATGAGACATATGAATAGAGCCCATAAATGTGTTGATAATTAATCATAATTTAAATAACCAATAAATTATTTCAAACAAAACAATGTGTTGTAATGCAAAATGTAGTATATTTTACATATAAATATTAAATTAATTACATATACATATATATATATTGTACATATAAATATATATATTAAATATTATTTATATTATAACTTAAAGTATACATCAAATATGTGACAACTTTTCACTTTAATTGTTTAAATTATTTTTGTATTTATTTAAATTTAATGTAAAATTAGTTAAAATGT